TTTTTTTTTTTTTTTTAAGAAGTCCCCAAACCATCAAATACTTAATCAGAAACAACGTTTAAGGCATAAGTCTATTAAATCAGCAAGGGCTCCGATTTAATGAATCTCAAGAAGTGGATATAACAGTTTTACAAACAACTGAACCAATCTAAAATCCACTTCAACTAGAGTTTATTATTGTAGTACAGACTGCATAAAACTGAATGTGACAATGAAAAAAAAAAAAAAAAAGGCAATTTCGGCTGCTTTGTGAAATGAAAAATTATGTGTCTGTGTATGCAATCTTGGAACTTGATGTTCTGACTACAGACTAAGAGCAACATAAACAGCTTTCTAAGCCATTAATTTCTGCACAGCTGATTCCTGCTAAACAGTGTTCCCTATTGAGAGAATTATAAAAAGCATGGGACAGTTCCAGTGGAGAAGGCTGGCCTCATAATATCTAAACCAAGCCAACACAGTGATAGTGACATCAGTGCTACCACTACTTTAATCCCTATGGTTACTAAATGTCAAATAGTTTAAATTGCAATGAGGTTGTGGTTCATCATGATGAGATGAAGTTACTCAATTAAAAAAAAAAGCAAAGAAAAACAAAAAGACTAACTCCAAACCATGCAGAGTAGGGGGCAGCAATAGTTGCCAGCAGAACTGGGAGTGGGTGGCTAATGACCCAGCTCAGGTGGAAGGCAACCAGGCATTAGCAGCCAGGTACGGCCACTGCTTCTCTACACTATGTTGCAGATGAGTGGTGGGGAGAAAGCCCCCCTCTGCTAGAAGCCTGCACTGTCTGACTGCAGCACAGCACAGGCAGACTTCCCCCTCCACCAGAGCCCTAGGTGGCTGACCGCAGCCTGCTACAGGAAAAGCCCCCCGTATTGCCAAATGCTGCCAAAGCCACAGCTCCACAGGCCAGATCCAAAGATTCCACAGGCTGGTTCTGGCCTGTGGGCCATAGGTTGCCAAACCGTGATACCGAGCTCACCCATACAATGCTAAAGGGGCATTTATTTACCAAACATAAATCAAATAGTACCAAATGTACCATAAGACCAATTCAATTATAGTATAAGCTTATAAAGAGAAGCAGCACAGAAAACAGTTTTAAGCAACACACTTTTGAAAGTTTCTCTTACATTACGTTTGGACCACCATACCAAACAGCTGATGGATCACTTAATATCCTCCTAATCAAACAAATATTTCAAAACTTATTAGTTTGTTGCAGTACATCTAGGTCTTCCAAGAAAAAAAATCTTGTACTGACCATTGTCAGCCACAGATAAACCAAGATAAACAAATGATGCAAATCTAAATAAACCAATGATTCAAACGTATCTGTGAGATCCAAGTGATCAAACTTACTAGTTTTCATTAACCAAATAAGCTTTGCAACAACTGCCTTAACTGTGGAAGATACTTGAAACATCTCACCTTTTATGCATCTACCATACACCTCAATGATGATGACTCAAAAATTAATTTAGAATTAAAATCATTGACTGTCAGTGATGTTTGTATATCACCGTAACCCTTTACAGAAAGTATCGAAAGCAATTTTATACATACCATTGTGTATCTATCTGCTTAAACAACTCAAAAATATAAACTGTAGATTAATATTATCCATGTTTTGTCTATGAGAGAAATCAGTGACTGACAGTGGCAAGTGACCATCAATGCATCTGGACCAAAGTTCAGCAAGTCCATAAACTAAAATTCATAGCACTGGCCTCCCCTCCTCTGGAAGAGTTGCTAAGAATTGCTGATACTGAATAACTTCAAATCAATTCCACACGGTATATCAAAAAGCAGTTTTAAGGGAAACTCCCCTATACTGCTCAATACCAGGATCTTGTACATGAGAAGGATGAAAGGACAGTGTAAAGTACCTGTCATTACTAAAATATGGCAACTTTGTACAACCTGATAAAATACAAGAAAAAAAATTCTCACTATAATATTCCAATCGTAGCTTTATAGGAAGCAAATTAGAGACAGTAGGAAACTGCTAAGATTTAACTGAAAAGGGAAATAACAACAGTGATAATGTCTACAGAGCTATTTAGCTTACCTGAACTTGTTCTGTGGAGCTGCTACTGAGTTCATCTCCAGATTCTGAATCTTGATGGATTTTTTCTGAGCTTTCTCCTGCTGAATCACAAGACTGTTCAAGGGAAAAGCTGGTCTTTTCTATTTCCATGAACTCAGGACAAGGGAAATGGCCCACAGAGAGGGTCCTGTATTGGCTGGAAACCTTGGGTGACTGTAACTCATTATTTGGTTTTCCATTATTTTGGGCAAGGTCCAGATTCAAGCAAACAGTTTGACCTGGGCTACTATTTGGTCCCAGATTCTGATTGGCATCCCAAACTAGACCAGACACTTGAACTGGAGCAGTTTTTCCAAAACTAGAAAGTTCTGGTGACTTGTTCACATTTTCTGTTGACCTCTGTAACCCTGCATGCATCAGTTTCAAAGAACTATTTGGCAGTCCACCTGCTGGTTTAACAGGTGGCATCAGTGCTTTTCGTGTTACTTCTTTCACATACTGGGCTGGCACATAGAAGGGCTTGGAATGTTCCTCCTTTTTGACTTGCCACCAATCATCATTAGTTTTTTTCACCAACATGTATTTCTCACCTTGTTTTATCACAATCTTTTTATCCTTTGCCTCGTATTCATAGTCATACTCCACTTCAATGTATAACGGTACTGGAAGGATCTTCCCACCTTTGTCAGCCATCTCTAAGTGAAAACACTGTTCAACTTTCCAAACAAAAGATAAGCCACATTATGCTTACTTCTTTGGTATTTGTTTCTTTTTCTGTTTGTATCAGATGAGCTGGAAGAAACAAAAACAAAAGCTGTCTTCAGTCCACAGCCTATGAATAAGAAATGTTTTCAATACACTTCATAATTACCGGTACATATTGCATAAATCAGGGACTGGCAAAGTTCAGAAGTGGGAGGCTGCTTTAATGAAGCTTAACTCTGAGCATGGGCCACTTCCAGCCTGGCTCATGCCACCAGTTGCCCCACAAGGCAGCTGCTTCTCTCTGCTGCCTGGCTGTCTTGGGGGGCAAAGCCCCACCCCCGCCAAAACACTGCCACAGTCCCACCAGCTCTATGGATACAAGGCCATAGGTTGCCAACCCTTGGCACAAATTATCAAAGTCTGTCAAGGCAAATGGTAGAGTCTTGATACAATTAATATGATATGAAAATCAGTAACACTCCTAGATACTCTCAGCTATACAACAAAACATTATGTTGTATAACTTGGTCACAGCTTCTGTCCTGTAACACTGAAGAATGGCTTGATATCTGTAAGTTACCTATTAAGCCTATTGTTTCTATTACTTAGCAAAATAGATCAGGAAATTCTCTCAGCTGAAGTCAATTTCTTACTCACAGATGAGATTTAATTTCTTCATAAAAAACTGTGCTACTCCTCTCACTTATATTTAAAGTCTTAAAACAAGGAAGAAAAAAAAAAAAAAGAGAGAGAGAAAAGCGGGTATACTACTTACTACTCTAGCTTTCCCCCTGCTCCCAAGACCTCTCAGCCCCCTTCAAAGTGCTCAGAAATATATCTTCTAGTGCCACTAGAGCAGGGATACTCAACCCCTGGTCCACAGGCTGGATCCAGCCCATAGTGCCATGTCATCTGGCCTGCAGGGCTCCCAACAGGTCCATAAATTTGGCAAAAGGGGAGCAGTAGCACCACTCTCCTACCTCTTCATTTCCAGACCCATGGGAAGCCCTGGCCTCTGTATTGGGCAGGGCACCAGATCCCAGCACACAGGCGTGAACAAAGGCAGTTCTGGGCCCCAATCCCAGAACACTGGGGGCAGGAAGGGGCAATGCCAGGCCCCTAGGGCCCAACATGGGTGCATGGGGAGCAGGAAGGGCAATGCTAAGACTTAATCCTGACACACGGGGAAGGGACAAGGCAGTGCTGGGCCCCAGAACCCAATTTGGCCTACAAACTGGCCCCCTTGCCACTCATCTGGCCCACAGGGCCAACAGATTGAACATCATTGCCCTGTACCTTCTCCCACTATCCAAAGAATCAAATATGGGATGGGCCATCAATCCTTCCTAAGGATGGAGGATTTATCTGCTGTAACCATCACAACTAGTGGCTAAACTGATTGGTAGTAATATAAGATACAATGCAAATGCAAGAGACTCTTGCATCCAGATACAAAGTTCCATAGGCAGACACAGGCTTTTAATACTGTAGCAGTTGGCATGCCTGCAGATTTTAAGTGAGCTGTAACCCATATCCACACCATTAACAGGAATTGACACTCAGATTTTTTAATTTTTTTTTTTAAGTTGAGATATTTTATGTTATCTATTTACTTTTTGAGTTTTGGCACAATCAGAACCAGTCTGGAAAAAGAGTAAATATTAGCATCCGTAATTTTTTTTTTTTTTTTTTTTTTTTAAAAATCACTCTTTTTTTTATCTCATTGGAAAAAATGAGAAAACCTAGACAGAGGCACAAGAAAAAGACTGTAACAAAGCACAATACCACCAGAAAACTGAGATGACTGGAGATGAGAAATGAGCAAAGAGTGGACACAGGAATAAGGCTTTTCCCCATTTTCTTTGTAACATAATTCAATACATGTATTCTACTAAAATTTTGAAATAGGCTTTAACATTTGCCCAAATTGTTTGAAATACACTCCAAATCTTGAGCTTTTTTTCCACCCTGTTTAGCAATCCAAGCTGCAATGGTAAACTCCTACTGTAACGCATTTCAGAACTAGAAAAAACAAATCTCTCTGATTCTGACCGCTCCATAAATTTTAACTTAAATCATATGAAAATTAGATATCCAGAATACGATGGGTGGGGGTGTATATTTCTTTAAAGGTATGTTAAAAGTAGCTGGTATGTTATCTTTTTAAAAGAATTATTTTAAAAATAAATATGCCATTTATAGTTCACCAAACACTACTTCAGGAGGACAAATACTTGAAAAAGCTACAAGTTTTAAGTACCAAATTTACAGTCAAGTCTGCATGGGCATATGCAACACAGTGGCATTTCTGACTCTGCACACACCTCTCACAAAGTCCATCATACAAACCTGGCTACAGCAGTAGAGTCTAGTTTTGGAAACATTCAAGAGATCTTCCTGAAGGAAGCCTAGTCTTTCAAAATACCATGAAAGTCTATTGCCCACTGAACATAATGGAAGTGGAAGGAGTTAAGAACGTAACAGTACTGAGCTCACGTATATTTACACAAGTACCCATTTCCACAATCCATTTTCTATGTCATAAGGGTGACTATATTCCCCCCCCCTCCCCAATCAAAATTTATAAGTGGTCATTTTGATTGGGGAGTGGGGGGATACAGTTACTAAGTTGCAAGTTAAGGCTTATAAGCTGATTGGCCAATCAAGCTTATGCAAAATAGCAACTTCAAGGAGGCCAAAACTAGAATAAAAATACTGTTTAACATTGGGCATTAATGCCCTGATCGTAAAATCCCTATTACTACCTGTAGTAAAGTTCTATTCCCTTGATTTATAAAGTGATTAGCTTCTTTTGTCATACCATCAAAATAGATATCATATGAATGTTAGGTCTTACAAGCAAGGTAACCCCAATCATCTCTTACTTTACAAGCTACAATGTTCTCATCTCCAATCGATGCTGACCTCATGAAGGAACACCTTGAGAGGCTGGATACCTTCAAGTCAGCTGGCCCTGACAATCTATACCCCAGGGTACTCAAGGAGCTGGTGAGCATCATAGCCCAGCTCCTGGCACGGATCTTTGAGAATGCCTGGCACTCTGGTGTAGTGCCCGAAGACTGAAGAAGGCCATTGTGGTGCCTCTGTCTTCAAGAAAGGGAGGAAAGTGGATCCGGCAAACTACAGGCCCATCAGCCTGACCCCTATCCCAGGGAAGGTCTTAGAAAAGTTTATTAAACAGGCCATCCTTAATGGTCTGGCTGACACCAACATCCTGAGGGATAACCAGCATGGGTTTGTTGCGGGTAGGTCTTGCTTGACCAATCTCATTTCCTTTTACAACCAGGTGACCTATCACCTGGACAAGGGCGAAGAGATTGATGTCATATATCTTGACTTCAGAAAAGCCTTTGATCTGGTATCCCATGATCACCTCTTGGCGAAACTGGCCAACTGTGGCCTTGGGTCCACCACGATCCGCTGGCTGGGAAATTGGCTCCGTGGCTGGACACAGAGGGTGGTAACAGATGGAAGTCAATCGTCATGGTGCCCTGTGACCAGTGGGGTCCCCCAAGGCTCTGTCCTTGGACCCATATTGTTCAAAATCTTCATTAATGATGTGGACATTGGAGTCAAAAGCGGACTGGCCAAGTTCGCCGATGACACCAAACTTCGCGGCAAAGCATCCATACCTGCAGACAGGAAGGTGATCCAGGCTGACCTGGACAGGCTCAGCAAATGGGGGGATGAGAACCTGATGGTGTTTAACACCAAAAAATGCAAGGTTCTCCACCT